GAATCGCTCTTCCATTGTCTATCACTAGTGTTTCTGGATTCCCAAACTGAGCGAAAAGACGGCGTAGTTCTCTTATCGTGCAGCTTGTAGTGGTAGATGACATCTCGATAACTTCTGGCCATTTCGAGTAAGCGTCAACGACGATGAGGTAAGTTGTACCATCGATCGGTCCTGCGAAATCGGCATGTATGCGACTCCATGGCTTATCCTCCATAATGTTGCTTTCACTGGATTCTTCGCAGCTTCCTGGCAACTTTGACATGCTTTCACGAAGTTTTCGATATCGTTGTTGATGGCTCAAAAATACGAGAAAATAGCGCCGCTCGTTCGTGAACAGGCTGCTACCCCGCGCACTGACTGTCACAACGCTCAACGTTCATTAATAATTGTTACCTCACGGTACGGTTGTTGCGTTAGAACTTCTCTCCACTTCAGAGACTGCTGGCAAGAACAAGTGAGAACTCGCCCGACCACGAACTTTACTCGCCTTCTGCACGTACGACCTCAATTCGGCATAGGGCTCCATATGGGGCATTTCCCACGTTTTTTTTTGTTGCACTTTTTCCTCACTATTGAGTCTTTTGCTACCTTGTTACTGCTATCTGAGCCGTATAACTCGTCATCTTCGAGGGCGACTCAGTCTTTAAAGACTACTTCATTTGGTGTCTAAGCCTCATAAATTACAACAATTCGATAACTTTCATTAGATTTTTAGCAAATTTATATTATCTAGCATCTAATCAAGCATACGACACTAGGTAACTGGTTGGAAATTCACGACAAATAAACCGTCTGCCTATCCAAAGCATAGCATTGCGCTGCCGCATCCAAATGATGAACGCCTAGATTCCATAGGAAAACCATAAATTCGAAATTAAACAACATTCTGCACGAAATCAAACCGCATAACACATCAGCCCGATATCGATCGTTCCAGGAGGGTTGTGCCATAATTTTGAACTCGTTCCCACAACTACAACCTTCCTGCTCTTCGACAACGGAACTGACAGGGCCTTGAGAATGAAGGAGCATGTTATGTATGGTAGAGATTCAGATATATAAGTAACTACTAGACAGTTACAGTATTCCTCTAGAGTGCTCATCTGACTATGTATCACTAGCAACAAAATGATGATTAACGCACATAATGGTTTAACAAAAACCACCATTTCGATAAATTTGACACTACTTGGACTGAGCATAAGGGAACGGAATTCAAGCAGAAAATAATTACGACATGTTACAAACCCCGTAGTTATTGAGAATGTAAACATTAGAGTGTATGTGTTAGGAGACGAACAGAGATGGACCAACAGACAAAGTGAGAGGCAAATGGATGATGGGAAAAAGAAAATAATATATGACATAAATGATTTAATGGTAAATAATATTATGTACAATAACAGATAATATATCTCATGCGAGGCATTGTATATCCTTATAGGCATTCAACATAAAAGTGCGTATTAATATCGTATCGTACATGACACCAGATAGACAAGACAAATGAAATAGATGTTACAAGTGAGAATTGTGAGGAAGTGGATCTCATATTACTACTTTGAAATTTTGAAAAGAGTTTCAAACGGGAGAAGTTACATAGGTTTTTTGTACATGGGTAATGGGTATAAGGGCGTTTGTCAATCAAGAAATTCATGCAGAAGACGTTCAACATCTGTCGAATCCAATTCATGTGACATTGTGATCGCATGGCTGGCCACTTCTCCTACTGCATTCAATCGCTCTAATAAATGGCGATAGTCGGCTGTTGATCGCACACTATCGTTACCACCCAATGAATAGAGTAATCTATAACAATAATCGACAAATTAACTCACGATAACGTATTATGTGACCGTAATTATATTACGACCTGCAAGGCCGTTTCCCCCAGATTCGTAGCTGGTATACAAGACAGCCTTGAAGTAGCACAATTTTAGTTACGATATGTTAAGAGTGAGAAAAGTACACCTTAGGCAGCGCTCAGACTTCGCGATGGCGCGCATCCACGCGCTACAATTGTAACAGCTCCAGTCCTGTACGGACGAAAGTCGACTGGCGCTGCCCTAGACGCAGTGCCGATCGATACGAGACTGCGTGCCTAGGCATCGCGTACCCCCACACTCTCTCGACACACAAGCGGCACCAATCGATTCCCATCTGCGGCTGCTTTCGCGTCAATAAGACTGGAGCGCTGTCGAAAGTGCAGCGCGTTTCAGCGCTTTGATGCGCGTCATCGCGAAGCTTGAACGTCAGAGGAGTGTAGGCCGCATGGGCGTAGCATTGTAAACAAGAGATGGCAATCAATCATAATCAAGAGGTGGCATAGAGATGAGGGATGTCCTGGGGAACTCAACGAAGATGGGGATTTAAACTGCTCATGGCTTGGACATTGCCTGTGGCACGAGAGATCCAACATGAGTTGGACGTGGTAAGGGTGCACTACCCGGACTGACAACATCACTTTTGAAAACAAGCGCGTGAATAGCACTGGCTTATACTTATAAATCCATACCTTTGAAGTAAAGAACTGTAGAATGAAAATTGTCTAGAAACACTATCTCGGTCTTGCAAACCGAGGGTTTCTGCGTCAAACACGACCAGTAGTCCTAGTATCAACATCACATTCTCGTTGCTCCGCAACTCTTCTTTGAATGACAAATAGTACCTGCAATTAGGATTAAAAATAATAAACTCTAATTCACAGCCTCATTAAATTTTTTTTACTGGATCGAATCTATGTTAACGATAATTGATTCTACGAAATGTACAAACCTTATGCAGTGAGGTAAAACGTCCGAAAACCGAACATCCAACGACTGTCCAAGAATTTTCGGATTATTAGGGTCGTAAGAAATTGCATTGTGAATGATCATATATGGTATACAAGACTCTGAAAGTATAAGTAGTGAATTGAATCAAGCGAGTTGTTCCATAGCTGAAGCTTCATTTGTTCTTTGAACTGAGTTCGCCGTTAGGGACACTGCCTTCTTCACTGCTTCAAGTAAAAAAAATATTAGGTTGTCCCAAAAGTTCGTGGACACTTTCAAAACTTTTCGATATTAAAATTTGATAATCACAGGTGGAGAAATAATTGATCAAACTATGTATATGTCACCTATCATATGGACAACTTGTTATATCATTACACTACGACAATTGTGGTTGCCCATGCTTTCCAGAAAGCTCTTAGTTCTGCGCCAGAAATGGCAGAGTGGGTCATTTTCTGACCGTAGGGTACTATTCAAAATACGTTATTTTTTTTTAACAAGAAAGTAAGCAGCTAAAATGTCGGATTAGATTATAGAAGGTGATACGGAGCGAAAAGAGTAAGTCAGGGCCTACACGACAGACGATAGGTAGCTGGATCATATCCACAGCTAAGGCTTCGGGGGATTATCAGCAGTGTCTCTTCCAAATGCGTGACCCTCGAGCTGATGAAGGGACAGTATGGCAAACATTGCTTCGGCCTTGGGACCAAATTGGTAGAGATTTTTCCCACTTTGCAATGTTGATACAGTGGCAAGCTCCCTGGTTACCATAGCGTAGGAGGAACGTAATTCGTTAGGGCGGGAAAAGGTACCCCACATATTACACAGCCTGCACCGCACTATGATGCTGGATTGATAGCATTGCGCGATCTGGTTTGCCCTTTTTCTGGCATGCGGATTCTAAGCCAGCTGGCAGCTCACCAGGGAAGTGAGTTCATTCTAGCAGGCCACCCACTCCAAATATCCTAGTATACCCAGTGCTAGTATCAACCAGCTGTACAGGGAAGCGGGCGAAAGAGTTGTAGACAAGCTTACCACATGTGCTACCCTTGGGTGAACTGGTTCAACTCATTATGAGAGAAATATATATAGACAGAACATAAAAAACACAAAACCACATAAGAAATATATATATAAGAAGAAGAGCAGAAAGAGAAATAATATACTCAATTAATATAGTAACATATATTAAGAGACAAGATAAAAGATAGTAAGGACTAAGATTAAAGACAAAAAGATATAGGGATATAGAGTGTTAGAAGATATATATCAAAATGAACACAGATAAAAAGATACACAAACCAGTACCAGGCAGGTGTGCCTCTGGGACGGAAGTGTTACACCGCGAGATTAGAAGTCACTAAAGCTCGCGAAGCAATTGAGCCATTCCAAAGCCGTACTGTGGAAGCTAACATCAAGATCTAAATAAGGGAAATGCCGCTTATGGCTCCAACCACGTTGTGGCTTGGTAGAGATTCATATAGCGAAGTGTGTCGAAAATGATGAATTTCAATTACCGTTTTTCATATGAGAACAGCGACTGCGAGGGACGAGAAGCTGTGGAATGCTTACCTCACACACTTCCCATAGACCACATAACTGGATCTCGAAATGGCTGCGGAAAAATCTGATACGAGATTCAAAAAGTGTCCACGAACTTTTGGGACAACCTAATAGAAACCGCCGTCACCAACTGCAGCATTTAGCTTGCTATAGAGTTAGTTAATTAGTCAACAATAAGGCAGCGTACAGAATTCGCGATGACGCACGTCGACGCGTTGTGACGTGATGTAACGCGCGTCGACGGACGGCGTCCACTGGATCCATTCTGCGAATGCTCGATCGATGGGCGCCGGCCGCTTGTGTTACGAAAAAGTATGGGGGATCAGGATCAAAGGTGTTGTCGAATCACGCAGACTACTCTCGATGAGCACTTGCCCTCAGCGGCTCCGTTCGTGTCTACAGCTTCGGAGCACTAATGTAATTGTAACGCGTCGACGCGCGTCAGCGCTTCGCGGCGCGCTGCAGCGCGTCATCGTGATGACGCCCCACCTAAGAGTGCAGTCGAGAGAATGGGGAAAAGAACGGGAAGTTGAAGCGACCAAAAAGACTGGGATCAATGATCCATGGACACTTTCAATGCTTTCACAGCCTTTGTAATCTATTTGAATGCGTCTCATGGTCTCGCAACAGCACCAGCAGAGAAGGGCAAATAGTCGAACCTGCTCTTCGCAAACTCCAAATGTATTTCGCTTATCAGGTAATCGTACCTTTCTCAACTGGGAACAAAAACTTACTTCTTATCAAAATGCATCGGTCATAAGTTGAGAAGAGGTTGAAGCACGGCAATCGTTTTAACATTCGAACAAAACGTCGCACACATCCATCACTAAAGTTTATTTGCTGAAATCCCCGGTCATCATGGCGATACCTGAAAGAAAGACTACTGATTGTAAAAAGGAACTCCTAACGCATTATCACAACATTTAATTTCCAGGTTAACTGTTTAGTATATTTACCAACAAGTTCGTGCTCATTCATGACACATACCTAACTTCTGTTGTACTTCTCTTTTCTCTATGTTCATGCAGTTTCATTTGTCAGAAGTCTGGGCTGCTTCGCTATAGCAGAAAAATGGGAGCATTAAAGAATCAGCAAATAAAGCAGAGGTAAGAGCAAAAGCTTTTTCAAGTGCTTCTCGAGGGGAATCCACTTCTAATCCGTTCCTTAGAGGCTTTTACTTATCTGAAATCGATCCAGTCTCTGACATGCGAGCCTTTTCCAAGCGATTTCGAACACCATATAAGTGGAAAGGCGCAAACGAGCAGCAGATTCCGCGTGTGTGGGTGGTTTTCTACCTGAAGATGCCTGGACACTTACAACTCCCCAGCGCCACTGGCACGCAGTTAAGAGGCGGAAGTGATCAGTGCTGTGCGTCTGCGTGCAAGTCTTTTTTGAACGAGGAAGGGAATCCTTTTTTGAACGAGGAAGGGAATCTACCCACCAAGTTAAGATGGATGTGTCTTTAAGCCAAATTTCGAGATAACTTTTATACTACAAAAAAATTAACTTCAGAAAGCGTACTGATCACATGAGTCCGAGCAATTCTTGTACGCATGATTCGCCGTAAGTACTTCATTAATGGTGACGTGGTCTGACGGTGACAATCCATTCAGATTAGTTGGTGCTGAAATTCTATCCTATACAAGCTGCTCTGTGAAAAACTCAGGTAGCGGGCACGACCGTTGGAGGCGAGCGGCTGTTATCAGTGTCACCGGCGGAAGGGCTGCGACAGGGCCTTGGCCACACCCCTCCTAGCCTTTAAAGCAATAACGTTGATGACAACCATTCGCCCCTAAGCATCGGGCCTGCTGCTTTAAAACAAGCTTTGTGTATTGAA